ATCAGTCATTTTACACAGATAATTATACTCCGTAGCAAAGCTAAAAGCAATCAACAATATACACACTTATTGATCAAAAACAGATCAGTCTTTATTAACTTTTCAGACATATTTTACAAGTTTAGAAGTTGAAGATGTATCAGATTTGTTACAAGGTAAGTAGAATACTATTTGGTTTTCTTCACTAGGCCTAGGATTTCACATATTTCAATCCAAGGTTATTATTCTCAAAAACTTAAGATGATATTAGTGTTCCAGTCATTATTTATCATGATGTTGTAAGGTGTTCTCATTCCAACTCTTAAATTTAACTCTTCTACTGGAGAAACCAAGTCAGGCACTATTAGTTATTTTTGATGTATTTGATATCTGATTGGACCTTGGTTTTAAATAATGAATGAATCTGATTGTAATTATTATATTGTAGATGAACTAGTTGTTATTGAGTTACTTCAGTTATCAGAATATTCTGATGGAGCTGTTCATCTTGCTACGTATACTAACAACGTCCGAGACTTCCTATACCCGTACGAAACTAATAAAACAACCTTCGTATCTCGTGATAGAGATATCTTTCTAGAGAGAACTGTCGCTTTCCCTGTAAGTTTGTTTTTTAAGTCTGTTACTTGCTTCTTTAACTGTACTGATGAGGATTGTGTATTCAAAACATGGTATAATCAACATGAAATTTGGTCTAGTTGAATAGATCTAAATCTAGTTTCCTACCAAAGTGAATAAAAAAAGAAAAAAGAAAGACAAGGCTTGAAGGCTACAATATTTAACACATTGTGTGTATATTTTCAGGGAATTTCCCCTAAATTAGAATTTTCATCTCGTGTGGCTTTAAAAGAATCATACTCAGAAGAACTGGATGCTTTAGAAGATGCTATAGATTATCATAAATCAGTGAGTATTATAGTATCATAAATCAGTGAGTATTATAGTATCATAAATCAGTGAGTATTATAGTATTATAAATCAGTGAGTATTATAGTATTATAAATCAGTGAGTATTATAGTATTATAAATCAGTGAGTATTATAGTATTATAAATCAGTGAGTATTATAGTATCATAAATCAGTGAGTATTATAGTATTATAAATCAGTGAGTATTATAGTATCATAAATCAGTGAGTATTATAGTATTATAAATCAGTGAGTATTATAGTATCATAAATCAGTGAGTATTATAGTATTATAAATCAGTGAGTATTATAGTATTATAAATCAGTGAGTATTATAGTATTATAAATCAGTGAGTATTATAGTATTATAAATCAGTGAGTATTATAGTATTATAGTATTATATTTCCTTCTAATGGTAGGAGTATGCAGATTGGATTTTGACTTCGGAGTCAGTTTCTTCTTACCACGTTTTTTCATTCTTGGTCTGAGTCCTGAGTCAGATTCTGTTTCAAAAGGTCCAGTATATCCTTGTAGGCTTTCATCATCATCATCATCATCAAAATCAGGATGCAGTCTTCCCAAAAAGATATCCATATCGTCTGCTGGGTAAACTTTTCTTCCATAGAACAAGATTAAGTCATCTCTTTGAAAAGAGAAAAAAATTATCAAAGGCACAAGACATGTTTTAGATATTAATTTCTTATCAGACAGCTAGTTTAGAATTTCCAGGTTAATAGGTTGTCATGCAACTTTCAAACTGAGTACCTGAGGAATAGGTACCAGTGTACTCCTTTTTACTTGAAGAGGGTGACAAATCAAAACAAGATATACCATCCTACCTTTCGTACAACAAATGGAGGTCTGTTGTCAGCATGGGCGTACAGATCAATATCTTCAATCCTCTGAGACAAGGTGGGTGACGGAGATCTATAATTATAATTCAGGTCAACAGGTTTTCCATATCCAGGTGAAAACTTGTCTCCGGGAAACTTGTGGTTAACAACTTTTGGTCTTTACAGATATATATCAGAACTTTACCATAGAACTGTTATACTGTTACTGATATATCATTCAATATCATTTAATATCATTCAATATCATTCAATATCATTCAATATCATGTTTTTATATATTCTTATTTCTTTGATTCTTATTTCTTTGATTCTTATTTCTTTGATTCTTATTTCTTATTTATGTAAATAAAATACTAACTTGACATTATGAAGGTATAAATCATTAGATGTGGTTATTTCCCTTTACTCCCAATATTTTATATTTCTATCGTATTTTTATTTATAGACAATTAAAGATATTAGAAGAACTAAAAGACGACCGAGATCTTTATCTCCCAAGAGACGAAATCGGTAAATTTTTATCTCAAATTTCAATTATTAATTTTTCACTTTTATTTTTCAAATTTGAATTTTATTTTCTCTCACTATTTTTTTAATCTAATTTTTAGATTAAAATTCCATTTTTTTAACTTGTAGTTTAATTTTCAGTTTATTTTGTTCAAAGTTTAGTAAATTTTTAGTCTTTTATTTGATTTTTGTTATAGGTATATAGTTATTATAGTTATCTAAAGAATTATCTAATCACACCTGACTAAGTTTGAAGTTAAACAGACTGGTTAGAGAATTATATCTCTTTCAGTTTATCTATTTATTACTAGTTACTATAGATATTAGATAGTTGTCTTGGTTTTTCAGAAATTCCAACAAAATAACCTCAAGAACTGTAACGTGGAAAACACGCAGGTACTCTCTCTCTCTGTCTCTTGTTACACATGATTTGTTTTGTTTTGTCTCAAATATTTGTCGGTTTTGTTTGTCAAAATCTTGGTTATATGAAATTGTCCTTTTTGCCTATTTCAGTTTTTAAACATTTCTTCATAACTTTACTTTACTGTAAGAATTTTTTTTTTGTAATTCATAAAATTTAACAAATATAGCATTAGATAAAACTTATCTTATTTTTCTTACAATTTTAAACTTTACAATAAATTAATATGAGTATGATACTTTCAGCCAAACCAATTCTGTATTTTACAAAATATTTCTAGTATCATTAACAGGAATTGATTTGTCTTGGTACCTCTAAATTTATGACTCTAAATCTATAACTGCATGGAAATAATATTTTCTATGGTTGGACAATGTCATACATTTTGTATCAAAAATAATTTCAAATATCACTAAAAAAACATCAATAGAAATTCTGATCACTGAGATTTCATATCACCAAAAATTTTGATAATAAAATAAAAACAAATTTTAAGATTCCTTTGGCAAAACACAGAAACTAGATGTAAAAAGAACAGAATTTGGTTTGATATTATCAGTAACATTAGAATAATTTTAATATTTTGAAAGTAGTTTTTATTGAAGTTAGTATTTTAGTCTCAGCTTGTTAACAACTTGTGGTCTGGGTTGGTAGAAACCAGTCAACATACAGTATGTAGTAAGTCTTTTATTTTTTTTTATTATTAACTAATGGATCTATAGTATATTTAGATTTAAATCAGGGAATTATCAGGGTTTTTTGTATTCTTGCATAATTTTGTAAAGAGGGGCCCAGTGTGTACCCCCTGCATAAATCTGACCTAGTGATGATAATAAATAAAGCCCAGAGTTAAGATGTAGCTATAGGGGGCCAGACTCCCCTAAGAAAATTTTGGCCGCCCCCCTGACGACTTAATGACTTGAGTCGCTATAGTTGAGCCCCCCCTTCAAAAGTTTTGCCGCCCACCCCTGAGACCCTTGGCTAACTAAGGACCTGCAATATAATTGATATGATATACTGATATAACTTCGAGGAAAGTTACCTGTATTGAATAATATTTACAGATATATATCAGAACTTTACCATAGAACTGTTATACTGTTACTGATATATCATTCAATATCATTTAATATCATTCATTATCATTCATTATCATTCAATATCATTCAATATCATTTAATATCATTCATTATCATTTAATATCATTCATTATCATTTAATATCATTCAATATCATTTAATATCATTCAATATCATTCAATATCATTCAATATCATTCAATATCATTTAATATCATTTAATATCATTTAATATCATTCAATATCATTCATTATCATTTAATATCATTTAATATCATTTAATATCATTCAATATCATTCATTATCATTTAATATCATTCAATATCATTCAATATCATTCAATATCATTCAATATCATTCAATATCATTCAATATCATTCATTATCATTTAATATCATTCAATATCATTCAATATCATTCAATATCATTCAATATCATTCATTATCATTTAATATCATTCAATATCATTTAATATCATTTAATATCATTCAATATCATTTAATATCATTCATTATCATTCAATATCATTTAATATCATTCAATATCATTCATTATCATTCAATATCATTTAATATCATTTAATATCATTCATTATCATTCAATATCATTCAATATCATTCATTATCATTTAATATCATTTAATATCATTCAATATACTCATTGTTAGCTTGGGTCCATAATAGATAAATAATCCCATCGTTTGATATTTAATAGAAGTCTTATTTACCATTCTATTTATTTCAGAAGAAAGGATCCAGGACTAGCACCAGAAGGTTTATCAGCCAGACAAATAGTTGATGATTTCCAGGTGGATTATGAAAATTATCCGAGCTATACTCCGAGGTCTAAAAATGAGGGGAGAAGTTTTGACGATTATAAAAAATTTACACGAGAGAGGGATAGGACAAGAACTCTACAAGGGGAGGGAACTGGTGATATAGATTATACCAACTATGAAACATTCACTGAAAGACGTCGCGAAGGAATGCGAGCGTATCCCATGGATGATATGGATATTGATGTATATCGAAAACGTCCCATTAGACGCAATGTTCGGCCGTCTGGTGGGCAATATCCCCTGGATGATATGGAACTAGAAACATTCAGAAAAACTCCTAGAGAAAGAGTTCGGTTTGGAGATTATCCTATCAACGATATAAATCCTGATCCTTATTCCAGACGTCCATTTGATAATTACTACCCTGAAAGAGAATATTTAAATGGAGATCCTGGTAGATCATATCCTTTAGATTTACAACAATATGAACCCAAGTCTCGAAATGAAAGAGGTCGAGCTCCCTTTTCAACTGACGACTATCAAAGTGATCCTTTCGACTCTGGAAACTTTTCTTTTGGTCGACGAGGACCGTCTGATGATGAGTATGATCCCTATGAAGGTAGAAGATACCCATTTGATGATATGGATCTTGATTTGAGAAGGAAACCGAGATATGATCGATACGACCCTACTGATAAAAGAGACAACAGGCTACGACCTTCAGCAGATGATTTGGATAATCATCTACGAGGAAGACCAGAACTTGCTGGAAGAAAAGTTTACCCAGCAGACGATATGGATATCTTTTTGGGAAGACTGCATCCTGATTTTGATGATGATGATGATGAAAGCCTACAAGGATATACTGGACCTTTTGAAACAGAATCTGACTCAGGACTCAGACCAAGAATGAAAAAACGTGGTAAGAAGAAACTGACTCCGAAGTCAAAATCCAATCTGCATACTCCTACCATTAGAAGGAAATCTGCATCTCCAAGAAGAACTGCTTCCCCTAGACGACCTGCTTCTCCTCAGTTAAAAAGATCCAATGATCCAGTATCCAGAAGAGCAAGACCACCGTCTGCTCCCGTCTCCCAGAATACACCCAGACGTGTCATGCGCAAACCTGTCCAAAGATCAGATGATTACCCAAAACGATCCTTGGTTCAAAGACCAATTTCACCAAGAGGTACCCCACGGCGCCAAAGACCTGCTTCTCCAGGGCGAGCACCATTGTACCAAAGACCTGCATCCCCCAGAGGTACCCCTAGACGTCAAAGACCAGCTTCCCCTGGACGTGCAACATTGTATCAAAGACCTGCATCTCCAAGGGGTATCCCAAGACGTCAAAGACCAGCTTCCCCTGGACGCGCACCTTTGTATCAAAGACAGGCATCTCCAAGTGGTACCCCAAGGCGTCAAAGACCATCCTCCCCTAGGGGAGGCCCCATGTATCAAAGACCGGCATCTCCCAGAGGTATCCCAAGACGTCAGAGACCTACATCCCCCGGACAAAGCCCCATTTACCAAAGACCTACTACTCCAGAAAGGGACCAATATATCAAAGAACACCATTGTTTCCAAGACCTGACCCATCAGAACAACAACCATTGTTCCCAAGATCTACTTCACCAAATCGTTCTTCCTTACTACAAAGACCCTCATCTCCTGGACCCACATTACGTCAAAGACCGCCTTCTCCAATGGGTGGTTATATCTCAAGACCTCCCTCTCCTAGAAGAACAATTCACAGACCTGATTTAATGCCAACTCAAAGACCAGGTTCACCTCCTAGGATGACACCACGAGATGGTTATCCAGCTATGCCCCGACAGCCTTACACTGGACCTGTCAGCTCTGGAATGCACCATCCCTCCTCTGCACCTCCGCCTTACCCCTCAAGATTCCCAACTCGGTCAGCTTCTCCCCTTCGTATGAATCCTCGGAACAACATGAAAGATGTGATCCAACCAGAAAACTACACCTCTCTACCTCCTAGACCAAAAGTTGTTAACCACAAGTTTCCCGGAGACAAGTTTTCACCTGGATATGGAAAACCTGTTGACCTGAATTATAATTATAGATCTCCGTCACCCACCTTGTCTCAGAGGATTGAAGATATTGATCTGTACGCCCATGCTGACAACAGACCTCCATTTGTTGTACGAAAGGTAGGATGGTATATCTTGTTTTGATTTGTCACCCTCTTCAAGTAAAAAGGAGTACACTGGTACCTATTCCTCAGGTACTCAGTTTGAAAGTTGCATGACAACCTATTAACCTGGAAATTCTAAACTAGCTGTCTGAAATTAATATCTAAAACATGTCTTGTGCCTTTGATAATTTTTTTCTCTTTTCAAAGAGATGACTTAATCTTGTTCTAATTTCTCTAAAATCTGTTCATTTTTTGTTTTTCACCAGTTGGACAGTGATTTAATAGGCCGACAGCCTGGTGGACTCCTCGCTGCTAACGCCAGATCTAAACCTCATAAATGTATCCGAGTCAACACGCATAAAAATAAATTAGCAACAGGTAACAGACTTTCTTTCTTATAAAGTAAGGCTGGCAACAAGTGTGGTAACCATAATGAAAACTTGGAAATAGATATGAAATTCAAATACAAGATAGAACTTATATTATTTAAGTCTCAAACCTGCTGGGTTATTAAGTTAACTCACAGTAATCAGTTTTCCTACTCTTTGGGTAAATTATAATATGGTTTTATGTTTTAATTGGTAGAGTGCTGTCCCCTTTGTTATGATTACTACACTGTAAAATGTTGTAGTATTTGTAAGTCGTATAAACGACATCTAGGACGTCTGTACTGGGGTCATGATAAATACCATCATCCAACCGGTCATGTCTGTCTGGTATCCAAACATCAGGAGGTATTGTCTCTGTTCTTGGCATGACTTGTGATATCTATATTAGAATAAAGCATGGGTTATCTACTCCTGGCAAGGTATTCTCGAAATGATCTTAGAGCTAGATTCTCCTTGGGTGTTAGCTTATAACACTGTTTCTAGGATATCCTAGGGTCTTAACTTCTAACACTGTTTCTAGGATATCCTAGGGTCTTAGCTTATAACACTGTTTCTAGGATATCCTAGGGTCTTCACTTTTAACACTGTTTCTAGGATATCCTAGGGTCTTAACTTCTAACACTGTTTCTAGGATATCCTAGGGTCTTCACTTCTAACACTGTTTCTGTTAGTCTAGTTTGGCTATTACTTTCAGAATGGAGTTCTGTCTTGTATACAGTATTAAGGAAATTGTATATGTAATGTTATAACCTAGCATGCCAGCATGAAACCCTGTATATTATTTATTTTGTAGTCTCGTTTGATGGTTATAATGATTTGAATGCCTATACTAATATAAAAAGAAATTACGCTAAACCAAAGGTATGGTAAAATATTTCTTTAACTTTTATCTATTTTAAATTCTATTAAATAACAAAACTCCAGAGTTTTATTGTACACAATGTTTCTACAATTTACATTATCATCATCAGGTAAAAATAAATTTAAAATAAGACGGTATTTTTGGTCCAACATTTGTAATTTGTTTTTTCCCCTGATGTAGTCGAGACTTTGAGTGAGAAAATGTTGGGTATGAAAAGATTTTATTATGTATTAACTTTATATTATGGCCCTTGTCTGTCTGTTGCTCTGAGTACTGAGCACAATATAGACTAGAGTTTTTATTTTATTTTCAAGTATCTTGGTAAGACAAGTTCAATTTCTTTCATTTTATTGAACAGTTGTTTTTTTACCTTCAAAGATTACAAATTGATTTTAATTAGAAAAATTTTAGTTGTTAATTAGTAATGAGTAAGTATTGTTCTGATGGACTCAGACAGAAAGACAATGTAAGAAGTTGATTTGCTGTCATGTTTAGAATTTTTGAAAAGTTCAACCAGGGTAAAATAAACTATGTTATTTATACACAAATAAACAGTAATAAAGTGGTCAGTCATGTACTCTCATTCACTCCAATAAGATTATTTTCAGAAATAATGTGATTAATTGATACAAGATGAAATTGATTTTAGTTATTGAACATTGTAACTTTTCTTAACTAAAAGAGAATCTCAGTTTAAAGAAAAACTCTAATCTGATTGGATAATAAAACTTAATTTAAAACTGTTTTAAGAAATTGACCAATCAGATGACTGGAATCATAAAATCTAACTAAGATCAGATCAAGCTCTGAATTTTTAATTGGTTTTAGAAATTAACCAATCATATGGCTGGAATATTAAAATTTTGTGAAACTGGCATCTGCATGATTTGTCTAATTTTCATCGCAGGAAAATCCCTTGGAACTAACTTAAATGCTGAATGATTTGTTTTTGGGATCGTACATTGGTTTTTCATTTCCTGCATATTAATGCTGTATTCATAGAAAGAGGAAAGATTATATTGAATTCTCTTGGGGCAAATTTAATTTGAGGAGAATGAAAAAAGTATTAGTTATGTAATAATTAGAGATATCAAGTTCTGTTAAAACCATAATATTACAAACTGAGTGAAACACAAGAAACATGTTCTACTATTTTTTACAGTTTTCAAGTACTATAACATCACCAGTACCAAGATATAATGGTAGTAGACGATATCTTGACAGTGATGATAGTGATTTAGATGATGGTTGGTATCAGATTAGATTATGACATGATTAAAATATGAGAATTTACTTATGAAGTGTACAATAAGGGAAATTTTTCAAGAAATTTTGCACATGGGCCTTCATATTTTGTCCTAAACAAAAAACTAGATGTTTCTGACTGCCCTTACAATCTGTCCAATAATTAAAGATGATCTTTCTGAAAACTGACAGTTTTTCTCGTTTCAGATTCAGAAGTAGCTGGCTACACCTCCAGAATAAGACCATCAAGAGCTCGATCTGTTAGTCCAGGTCTCCGCCGACCTCGTAGTGTCAGTCCCCGCGCTCGACTCGGAGCTGGTCCCGGTTTATCTAAGGTCCCATTTGGTGATCGTAGCTCCAGAAGGGACTATTCCAGCCCTTCCCTTAGAGCAAGAAGTCCCTTCCGTAGCGGTTTAGATGATCCCCCTCTCTCTTATTATGGAAGAGACGTAAGTCCAAAACCCGACCGAGATGACGTAAGCAATCTTAAGAAACTGAGACCCAAGAAAGGTGTTAAAAAAATTCCAAAAAAGAAAGTTAATCCAAGAATGGATAAGGAAAATATTGGCAGGCCAAAATCTTTATTGAACCCAAAATATGACCCTTTGTTGGATTTAGATGAACCTGTCAGGGATATTGCCGATGATCAGAGTTCAGCTAGGACAGATGATAGCGATGGAAATCCTGGTCTTGGAAATAGAGATCCTTATGGACAAGGTTCCAGAGGTTCCAGGGACAAGGTAGGTCCTCATGGGTACCCCCGGGACATTCAAGACCCTAATACAAAAAGAGATCGTTTGGGAACATCCCCTAGGAGAGGTCAAGACCCTTATGCTACAGCTGCAAGAGATCCTTATGCCAGAGATGGAGCCAGTCTGGATAGAGTCCCTATTGCTGCAGATCCTTATTTGAGAGATATTGCTGATCCCTACACCAAAGATGGAGTGGACCCTTGTGGTGAACTAGCTGACCCTTATGGACAGGATCCTTACTCAGGGAATAGAGCAGACCCTTATACTGGGCTTGAACAAAGTCCTTATGCTGGGCCAAGACAGAGCCCTTATGCTGGGCCCAAACAAATTCCTTATGCTGGGCCAAGACAGAGCCCTTATTCCAGAGATGCACAAATTCCTTACAATGCAGAAACACCTGGCCTTGAAAGAGGTGGACTCGATTCTTATCTTTTCACAGGAAGTCTAACAGATCCTTATAGAAGAGATGTAGACCCTTATGCCAGAGGTCCTGACAGAAATAAAGCTGGTCCTATTGGATTTGAGGCTGATCCTTATAGACAGCTAGGACCTCTTGGGGGCAAAACTGATCCTTATGCTAAAGATCTTGGATACCCCTTTACTAGTTATCCTGCTGATCCTTATTCTGGTCCCAATCCTAGAGATCCTCTTTCTGAAGTCAACCCTAATGTCAGAGGTTATGCTGATCCATATTCAAGAGAGAATTTTCAGAATCCAGATTTGTCTGATCCAAATGCAAGATACCAGCCAGATAGTTATGCCCCATATGGATTTGGAGACATACATGATCCATCCACAAAACTGAGATCAGATCCAACAATGAATTCATTTGATCCCAATAAAGTCATGAAATTTGATAAGCCCTTATATGGAGGTGATGGATGTGAACCCATGAGAAATAGATTTGATCCATATCCAGCCGAGTATGGACAGGAAGCCGGTAGATCTCCAGTAGCAGGCAGTAGATATGATCCAGTGAGAAATGGATCAGACCCATATCCTGTGCGAGACCCAGGGTTAACTGGAAGATCCCTAGGGGCTGGGGTAAGGGAAGGTGACCCAGGAGTTAGGTTTGATAATCGTGGAAGTTTGAGACCAGAAGTCGATTCTGCCCCACGTCAGGTTTCTAGTAGTGATTCTGGTAGGTCAGGGAGTCCAGCACGAGGCTCAAATAGGAAACTGACCCCGAGAAAAGGGCGAAAGGTTGCTTCAATGCCTTTAAGTAGTGACTACACTAGGTCTGGTAGTCAAACACGAGGCTCCAGTAAAAGAGCAAGTCGAAAGTCTCCCCTATCTGGTACCAAAGAAATTGGAATCTCTGGCACAATGACGACAAATGCAGACAGACCAAAGTTCACAGATTTTAGACTGTATCATGACGAGGAACCAGTAAGGGACGTTCAGTCAGTAGATCGAGTGTCAAGGAAGGATCAGTTTGAACAAGATAAATTGAGGTCAGTTGATAAGGAAGAAAGGAATGTGAGGTTTGAAAGTTCAGGTTTGCAGGAAGATCCTGGTGTTGTAGATCCTACTGGTGATGATGAGCTAGATACTTGTCATGTTTCACAGTCAGTTAAACACTACTCTCAATCCGGCTATCCTGATGATGATGAAGCTTCAAATGTAGCTCATGATGGTTTCACCAAACAAAAATCAGTTTATTCTTACTCTAAAAATACCAAACGAGAGGAAATGACTTATCCATCAAGCCAAGATGCCTCCACGCTTGGAGAAGGTTCAGAATGGTCGAAGAGAAGAAGTGATCGATTTTCTCCGAGAACATGTAGGGCTGATGCTTATTATGATCAAGTATTATTGGATGGTTCCGGCAAGGCTCCACTACCAAGTCGACCTATTAGTCCAGTTTTAAATAAAGGGAGATTCAGAGACAGATTTTCCGAATCACCGTTTTTCAGCACTTCCAGCAAACTATCAGAGCGAGTAAGGACCTGACCTCTCAAGAAATATTGTACTTGTAGATAGTTTAACATAATATAGGCCTGACTGATAGAGAAATAGTTTAACATAATATACGACTGACTGATAGAGAAATAGTTTAACATAATATACGACTGACTGATAGAGAAATAGTTTAACATAATATAGGCCTGACTGATAGAGAAATAGTTTAACATAATATACGACTGACTGATAGAGAAATAGTTTAACATAATATACGACTGACTGATAGAGAAATAGTTTAACATAATATACGACTGACTGATAGAGAAATAGTTTAACATAATATACGACTGACTGATAGAGAAATAGTTTAACATAATATACGACTGACTGATAGAGAAATAGTTTAACAAAATATACGACTGACTGATAGAGAAATAGTTTAACATAATATACGACTGACTGATAGAGAAATAG